AGAAACCGCACATGCATCTTCTATTTAGGAATCACAGGGTAGCTTAGGCTGCAGGGAAATCTAGCTCAGTAAGAATGAAGTACTTAAAGAAAGCCTATAAACCAATGTTACTTCAATAAACAAAAAATTTAAAAAATGAATAAAAAATAAAAAAAATAAAAATAAAAATAAAAGAACTTTGTTAAAAAAAAAAACCAAAAAAGAAAGCCTCTGTATTCTCTTTATGGTGTTTCAACTTTTTCTTCTCTTTAGTCTTTAAATCTTTGCTTTGTATTTCTGTAAATTTTTTTTAAACAAAATAAAACCAACGTTTTTTGTAATGGAAAAGTCCATTTGAAATAACTAGGTCAAGCAGCTTACCACAAGTTGCTGTTCTCTCACCATGTAAAAAATGCAATTGCGTGTTAAAAAGCACTGACCTCTGGCAATGAAATTGTGTTAAAATTTCTCTTTATTGACTTAAAAATGGGCTATGGGAGAAGGTGCCTTTGACACGTGGTCTCAGGATGATAAAAGTATTACTAAAAGAGAGTTTTCACTGGGTCAGTCTGTACCTATAAAGCAGAATTCAACCAACTATTCGGTAGCCAAATGTTCTGCAAACAAATCAAAACAAAACAAAAACCTACAGTGTCTGTCGCAGTGACCTTCAACAGACAAAGCCTTAGAAAGGATGTGGGCGTTATAATGAGGTAGTGTGAAGGGAGGCGAGCAACACAGAGCAGTGATTTAAAACCAAAAATAAATCAACAACAACAATCCAATTAAGGATAGGTTGTACAATGGGAAGATAATCTTCCTATTTTAATCTCTACCAATCAGGTTCTTACTAGATTATAGAGTTTCATCAAAGGATTCATAACACAAAAGAGATGAGTGGTTGAACTTAAATGACCTTTCCCAGTTCTTTCCTTGAAATTCTAACATTCTATAAAAAAGGAAAAGAGAACAGGAGGAAAGACGCAAGTAAAAGAGAGGTTCGAAAAGATGAAAGAATTGAAGAAACAGCAGGCATTTAAAGAGAAGGTACACAGAGCCTTTACCTGGTGGATAAACTCTGTTGAAAATAGGAGAAAACAGACGTTAATTGTAACGGGAGCAATTAAAGCGAGGAAAGAATTTCTGACATAAAAACTGAATATAGGAGGAAGTTATGGAATCTTCTTCCCTAAGGTGTAGAAAAAATATTAGAAGAAGAGAGAGAACTTTGCAAGGGTCCTCCCAAGTGATATACATGAACTCTGCAATAGAGACAGGGACAAAAAAAAAAAAAAAAAAAAAAAAGCTGATGTAGGGTATAGTGACAAGAGTTGCCCCAAATTCTTCTAAGAAAAATCTTAATGAGAGACTCAAATTTTCTTAGATTCTTCCTGGGTCATAACAACAATAACTATACATATAGATGAGAACAACAGTAGATAAATATTAAAATATGTGAATATTTTCCTGGATAGAGCTAGATAATCTCCTAATATTTCAACAACTTGAAGGTAACAACAACCAGCAAATCATCCAAAGCCTAAAGCAATATCATTCTTCCTCGGATTGGAGAATAAAGAAGAGCTTGCCAAAGAAAGAGGGCTGCACTTTTATTGGTCTAGACTTTTCTCATACTAAAAAGTTTACTATTGCCAGACACTGTGACAAGTACTTTACATGGATTTTCTCATCTATTTTCACAATAATTACATGTGGTTGGTACTATTATTAGCTCCATTTTAGAGAAATTAGATAATTTGACCAAAGGCACATTACTAATAACTAAACTGTTGAAACCTAATTTGAACCTAAGCTGGCTGATTGCAGAGCCTGAGTTCTTAACCTACAAACAGTATTGTATTTAATATTCCCCAACAATCTCGTGAGGTAAGGTATTATTATTATCCTTCTCTTACAGGGATGAAACTGAGGCTCAAAGCACAAGATCACACAAGATCTATTGATAGAGCCAGGATTCAATACAAGTCTAAACCAAACCATGCACATAACTGCTCTCTCTCTCCCTGTGTCCGTCTCTGTCTCTTGCTCTCATTTAACAAATACTTTGTACTGTCCACCCTGTACCGGGCACTATTATTACATCATTACAAGGTACAAGAAATATAAAGATGATTAAGATGGTTCCTTCTCTCAAGTAGCTCACATCTAGAGGAAGAGTCTAGAGCTTGCTACTTTAAGTGTGGTCCATGGACCGGCAGTATGGGCATCATCTGGGAGCTTGCTGGAAATGAGAATCTCAGGCAGACTGAATCAGAATCTGCATTTTAACAAGGTTTCCAGGCGTTTCATACGCACAGGTAAATGTCAGCAGTCCCGGCCTAGTGGGCATTTTGAAAGGTTTTGTTGTTCCAGGTATAGATTTTTATGACTACATCACCAAAACTAGTGTATGAAATAAAACAATTGAGATGGAATAACGGTAGGTGTCCTAATGCCCAAATGACTCTACTCTATTTTTAACTAAACTTAAAAAAATGATTCTTATAGTATCCTAGTGGGGAGTTTCCAGGCAAAGCTATCAGCTAGATGCCAGGTAATCAGAGATGAACGTTTGTTTTCAACATTTTCTCTAGCTTCCTAAAAAGAGACACCATTACCTGGACGTTCACTGTTTTGGGAGATGGTTCTCTTAGATTCGTATAATTGGGTCTACGTCCCTCCCATCACTGTGAAAAAGCCGAAGAAGAGTGAGAGGGACTTAGGTGGAACTTTTGCGGGAATCATGGTGGGGGTCTTTTTTTATTTTTGCCTGAGGCTAAAAAGCTGAGGCTATATGCTAGAATATGTTGTTTTTAATTTTAACTGTCCTAGAACCAGAAATGAAGCAAGATTTATGAACCGTGTCAGTGAAAGAGGGGAGACAAAATAAATAAATGCATCACACTGCCTGTGCAGCAGTGGGACCCAGTTCCGCAAAACAAGTGGTCCACACCCAACAGCTCTCCCGCTGCACCAGCTCCTTGCCTTAGTCACAGTCTACAGGGAAGTGAGGTCACCCAGCCAAGGTGCCCAGGTCAGGGGCGAGAAGGGGTGCTTCTACCCACTGCACGTGGTCACCACCTCAGAAACTTAATTTTTTTTTTTTTTTTCTGAGGAAGATTGGCCCTGGGCTAACATCCGTGCCCATCTTCCTCTACTTTATATGGGATGCCGCCCACAGCATGGCTTGACAAGTGGTGGGTCGGTGCGCACCCAGGATCCGAACCTGCAAACCCCAGGCCGCTGAAGCGGATTGCAAACACTTAACCGCTGCGCCACCGGGCTGGCCCCAGAAACTTAGTATTTTTAGTAAGTAAAACTTTGTAAGATCAAGTTCAGATTCTACATGGAATATTATAAATGACTCTCATTTAAGGTCCTCCAAGTCTGCATTGCTTTGGGAATGAAGCTTCATTATAAAACCAAGTGTCCTATTTGGGAAATGGTTAGAACTCCATCCACGGGTAAGTGGAGGCCAGTAGTGACTGCAGAAGCCTCCAGAAGTACAGAGCATAAAATGGCACTGGTAGAGGTTAGTAGAACTAATAAAGACTACCTTTTTCACTAATGCTGGAGCATTGTAATCAGAGGCAGCAGGATAGAGGATAAAGACAGGGATTTCAGACAGACCTGTGTATGTTGTTGGGCAAGCTATTTTACTTCTCTGAGCCTCAGTTTCCTTACCTGTAAACTAAATTTTTAAATTTTCCTTATTTGCAAAAGAATACTTTGCAAGATGGTACAAGAATAAACGGCAATACATGTAAAAACACATGGCACTCAAGAAACGGTAGTTATCCTTAATAGTTATTCAGAAAAGGTGAAAGAAGCAAACTTGAGTCCAACAATAAGAAATATCACAACACGGTAAATAATACTTGGATGATAATGAGGAAGTGTCTGGCTTGGGGACTTAACCACTAAGAACATTTAAGGAAGAGAAAAAGAAAGAGAGACAGGGCTGAAACTTCTGAGTGGATGTAAACGATGGCAGCGAAGTCCTGTGCTGGACTTTCAATTATACACTATATCAGAATGTAGAGCAGATTATCAGAAATGATTTCTACAAAGATGCTTTGTTAGTTGACATAATGTGTTCATCCTCCTCCATCCCCATTTCCTTTTGGCCCCCTTCCAAAGTGTAGCATCGTTGTTGCCTAATAAGCGGTCCTGTCTACGCCGCTCTCTTCTCCTAGCCTTTAGGAGGCCTCGTGCTTCAAAAAACTGCACCACCAACTCCCGAGCTGGAGAGCTTCCTGCTAAGGGGTCCATATAAGCTGCTATAGAATCAGTAGTTCAGAGAATGCCCCAAATCATTAAAAAAAAAAAAAAAAAAAAGACATTTGGTTGGTCCTACTCTTGTAAATTAAGAAACACAGAGCCCGAGAGTCGGAAGGAATTGCTGAGGTCACAGCTGAGGCCAAGAGCTTCCAGGCCAGCGTTCTTCCACCCCCGCTCTCCACCTCATCCCGTTCGCCATATCTCTTCTTTTTTCATGTACTATTTCCCTACTATAGTTTCTCGTGGAGCCATTTGAGCTCAACTGTTGTTGTTATTATTTAAAACCCACGTTACAAATGATGTTTGTAATGATGTATCTGTAGTTTTAACATGGGAACATCGGCAAATGCGACTTTGACCGTTTTTTGCTTAAAATGTGGGCGAGGTCAGATGACTGTAGTACACATCCACATATGGTATGCAGTGAAATTCCAACAGTCTTGTCTAATTCATAAGCACAGAGCTTTTGAAAAGTTAGGGCTGGTTGGGGTCCAATGTATTTATACATTTTTATTAGATTCAATTGAAAGATTTGAAAAGATGAATAAATTACTTTCCTATTTGCTTCATCTGCTATTGCAGACTATGCCCAACAGATGTCACATAAGAAATTCAAATTACATCTTCAAATGGAACGTAACCCTAGTAATGAATAATTCAAGAGAATAACTGAAAACCAGAATAATATTTTAGAGATATTTCTTTCATTGGATGGAAAGTGTTAGTGGAAAAATACTCACCTATTTATTTGACCATTTTCTACTTCAGTGAAATCATTGGAATCATTGCTAATGTTATCATCTTCGGGCACTGTCATGTTTTGCAATTCGGTTAATTCGAGTCCACTTTTGAAATGCATCATGATTGCAAAGTACCTGTAGTCAAAAAATTAGTCCAAATTCTCCTGTTCTGAGTGTATTTACAAGTGGACAGCAGCAAAAATATCAGCTTGACACCCCTGAAATACAACACAATGAAAAATAATGAAACATATGAATATCACCACTGATTAAAAATAAACTATTACAAGTAAACAAATAGTTAATTTACTGATAATGCACCTTTTTTTTTTTTTTAAAGATTTTATTTATTCATTTTTTTCCCCCCAAAGCCCCAGTAGATAGTTGTATGTCATAGGTTCACATCCTTCTAGTTGCTGTACGTGGGACTCACCCTCGGGTTGGACGGAGAAGTGGTGCCTTGGGGCGTGCCCGGGATCCGAACCCGGGCCGCCAGCATCAGAGCGCGCGCACTTAACCGCTAAGCCACGGAGCCGGCCCATGATAATGCAACTTTTACGTTTAGCTACTCAATGCGTTAAAGCAATCTTGGTACATCAAGTCATAGAGGCTCTAAATTTTTATGCCTTTCATAAATCTCCCTCCATTTTTAACTATAAAATGCATCACGTCCCATAATCTTTATGCTCATGTTTATAGGAATACCATGTCAGCTGTAGGCAATATAGGCGCCTTTTATGAAACAGTGTGTTTAAAATGAAAGCGATTCAGTATGTTAACGTGTCAGATCACAGGGCACACAGATAGCTGGGTACAGACTGCACAGACACAAAAGCACCTCTGATTTAGCAATCCCAGTTTAATAAAAATGCAAAGCCTCAATAAATGGCATCACGAGGGATCAAGTACCCAACCTGGAGGTCAAGCAGCAAAGGACAAATCTGTGTTTTGAAATTTAGCAAACAGTTTATCCATCAACTGCAAGAGATTAAATCAGTCTCTCCAATGCAATCACTCCAGGTCAGGGAATTAGGGAATTAAAAACTCATACTCAGGGGATTTAGGTTAATCCACCTGAAACTCTATTTCCTCATCAGAAACGAAAGCCTTGCAGAGTTCACATTTTCCCCCACATGGATGACTGTGATTTAAATTTCTGAGGGGTCATCAATAGTATCTAAGGGGGGAAAGAGTTTCAGACACACACACCACAAATCAAAAAGCGGGGCGGCAACAGAGGTAAATGCAACTTCAAAAGCAAGGCCTGTGTACGTACGGGAGCTTCACTGAGAAAATTTCAGTGAGGTGATGGGGACCACAGAATGACGCCAAATGGCAATAAGACTTTTGTTTACCTCCAATGGTAAACCCCTTTGGATGAAGTTTTGATATTTTGTCTGATCCTGAATTCCATAAGATGACTGTAACCTAGTTAAGAGTCAAAACTCCAATGTGCCCATCTAAGCATCCTAGTATATCCCAAAAAGCATTTTGCAAATTGATAACATCTTCAGGGCCCATAGAAAGTACCCTAGAATGATACTTTTTCAGGAATTTTCTGCTCCTCTTCCCCATGGCGGGCCCGTAGTTATTTATTCCTTTTCATTCACATAGTCTCCTATCTAGAATGAAACTTCTCTGGTTCCAGGATCATTTACAGCTTCCACAACATAAGTACTTCCTAATCCCTCAGGTTCCAGGAGCCTCACCCTTCCTTCAGGGAGGGCAGGGCCTCTCCTGGAAAGCAGGAAGCCAGGACAGGGAGATTTAAGCTCCATGAACTGGGCTGAGGCCAACCTGGCAGCTCGGGGCTGATTCTTCTAGCCAGGGTGGTAGCGCTAGAGATGGGGTCATCTCTAATTGCTTTTAGTGCCTTCACACAGCAGCACTGTTTACAGCCTGTCTTTGCAAAAGTTGAAGTGCATTAAAAAAGTTGAACACGACTGTCACGCCTTGGCCCCCCCTTTAATGAAAGCTGCATGAATGGACCAGACTGGGTAATTTCTAGGACTCTTGCCCCACTGGCTCTCTCCTGTGTGACTCTCTCAGAAGCTACTGAAGTGATACTATAGGGCTGGGAGAAAGTTGATTCAGTGGATGGAGCTTCCAGTCTGGGTTAAGAGTCCTTCTCTCTCCACAAACTGATAGGAAATAGGCCACTAGACAAAAATTTTCTGAGGCAAGGAAAGGTCAACTAACAATAGATCTGGATTCTACTGTTTGAATTTAAACTTTCATATCAATATATATGTGCGTGCGTGTATGTGCATACAAATAACGCACATGCACACACACACACACATATATATATAAAAAAACATATATGTGTAACTAGTCATTTAAAAAATGGACAAAAAGGGAAAAGAATAAAAAGAATAGAGGACATCCTGGCCACTAAAATTATGTCAGCATTAGGCAAATACTAGTACTAAGTTAATCACATAGAACAAATTTTTCTTCCTTTGGTTTAAAGAGAAATTTATTTTTTCCCAGCTCTGGAGACTAGAAGTCCACAATCAAGGTGTCATCAAGTTGAATCACCTCTGAGTCCTCTCTCTTTGGCTTCTTGCTGTGTCTTTACATGGCTTTTCCTCTGTCTGTGTGTTGTCTGTGTCCTAATCTCCTCTTCTTTTCCTTTTTAATAAATTTTTATTGTTGTGAAATAACCTATCTGAAATCTTACTTGTTCTTGAAAACGAAAACTTGGAAAATGGGGAAAATTAACAAAGTTAGTGACACCTGTCATTAACATTGAGGGCACACTTAGAAAATGCTATCCATTCAATTTATCATATATTTATTGAGTACTAGGTGATGAAGGGATTTAAAAAGTTTGAAAAATGTCAAATTCAGGGATCTGAGGCAGCTTCATGGAAATGTCACATTTGGACTGGCTCTTGAAAAAGAAAAAAATTCTTTTTTCTGATTCTAAAACTAATACACCCCCACTGTAGAATCCTTGTAAAGGACAATGTAAAAGAAACCCCACCACCCCAAAATGGCCACTGTTAGATTTTGATGTATTTACTCCTTTCTCCTTCCTTTTCTTTTCCTTTCTCCCTCTCTAGCTCCCTCTCCTTCTCTCTCTCTTTTTTATTTAACATTGGGACTTGAGACTGTTTTTAACCTACTTTTCTCATGTAGCATTACACTGTAAGCATTTTGAAGAACAGAAGTGTTTTTTAAAAACATATTAGTTCCTTATCAATAAATAATATAGATTTTTGTAGAAAACTTTGAAAATACAAGTTTGCAAATGAAGGAGGAGACAAGTAAACAGAAAAAAGTCACCTGTTTTCTCAGCAAGCAGAGATGACCACTGTAGATATATTGGAATATGACCTTCCAGGGTTTTCAATGCACATAGATAAAGTGCCTGGCACACAGTAGACCCTCAATAAATATCTGTTAAACGAAAAGAATGAGCACAAATAAAAATTATGTATACATGTACAAAAATGGAAATCATACCATAGAGTTTTTAAAATATATTTTTTCACTTAACAAGATCTGGTTTCCTATCCTGAGTTATGTCAGTAAACACAAGTCCACACCATTACTGCAAATGCTTGCTTAACTGCAGACCATGCCATAAATTGACATCCAACCTGTTACTGCTGGATTGTCACACTGCTTGGTGGACAGGAGATTGACAGGTGGACCTGGGGCCTGAGCTGAGACTTCTCAATGAAGGAGAACATGGTCAATGGCACAGAGGTAGAAGTGCAGGTTGAGTTCAAGAAACAAAGAATTACAGTTTCACTGAAAGATAGAAGCAATTATCAGACTACACAATTAATGAAAAGGCCGAATGGGGTCATGGTGTGAAGATCTTGACGTTAACCCAACCATAATTACTATTTCTCAATGTTTATAATAGGCTACAAATTACAGTTTACTCAGCACAGAACATTTCTGATCCTTTACCTCTATCATGTGAGGTACTCTTAAGCAAGCATTAGTATCTTGGTATGCTTCTTGGTACATTTTACTAACAGTATCATTGTCAAATACATAACCTTATTCTCTACTCTTTAACACTCTAAGTATAAAAGGAGAGGATATACAAAGAAACTTGTTGAACCTTACATTGTTTAGAGCCTATTTAAGAAAGGAAGACTCTCCCACATAAAGTGACAGTATACCATAAAATATTTGCATGATAGAGACCAAACTATATGGCAGAACAAAGAACAAGTCCAGAAAGATTTCAGAGACATACATACATACGTACATACAGGAAAGAAGGAAGGAGAGAAAGAAGGAAGAGAGGAATGGGCGAAGGAAGAAAGGAAGGAAGGAGGGAGGGAGAGAGCGAAGGAAAGAGGGAGGAAGGAGGGAAATAAATGAGGCCTGGAGAAATCAGGTGAGGTTTTACAAAGAGATAGGATTTGTACTATGTCTAAGAACAGGTAGGATTTAGGCTGGAGGATAGAGAAGGCATTACTTGTACTAGAACAGTACAAGCAAAGACAGGGAGCCTGAATACACACACAACCACCTTATATGACCATTCAGATGGACCTAGCTAGAGGGAGCAAGGTATTGTTCTTGAGTAATAGGAGGTTTTATAGGTTTGGCAAAAGATAATTAAAAGATTGGAGAGGGAAATCCAAACCAAAGAATATGTTGTAACTTAATCATTGTCCAAAATTACTTTTTGAGATAAATAAGCAAAAATACAATTTCAATTGCTAATATACTTCGTGGTGGATTGGCCCACTCAATATTTGTTCCCATTTCTTTCTAGTCCAGTTCTGTAGAGGATGGAAAGTTGAAAACTACATTTCCCACATTCCTTTGCAGCTAGCGTTCTAGATATGATTTAGATTCTACCAATCAGAGAGCAAGGTGGTGGGGTCACCAGCATCCATTTTGCTGGTATAATTCTAGCAGGTGCAGCAAATGGCACTGGAGCCAACAGTTGTGACTACGGATTCCTGATCATCAGATTTGACTCAAGTGACGTGTTCCTGGAGCATGCAGTTGAGACGATGAGAAATCGGCTTCCTCGTTTCCTAGCTTCCTGAGGGAGGCACAAGTAGTAGTTCTCTTAGCAGCCCAGTTGAGTAGTGGTGTTCTGGTAATTATTCCTAGAGGCCCAGCCTAGAGCCGGCTCTGCCACCTCTTCTAACAATTTTACAGGCACTAAATTCCCTACATTAAATCTCTTTTGCTTAACATACATAGAAAGATCTCTGTTATATGCCATTAAACCCTAATTGATGTTCTTAATTTTATTTTTTCCTCCCTTTTAAATTTTTTATTATGGGAAGTTTTAAACATATATAAACGTGGACAGAACAGAATGAACCCCCATGTACCAACTTCAGCAATTATCAATTCAGACTCATCTTGTTGAAGTTTTACAAACCCCAGCAGCACACAGAATTATTTTAAAGCCTATCTCAGATTTCCTATCATTTGTAAATATTTCAGCACACATCTTTAAAAGGTAAGAACTCTTTTTTAAAACAGTACTACCATATTACTATCAAACCTAAAAAATAACAAGAATTCCTTAATATCACTAAATATCCAGTCACATCCACTTAATTTTGAAATTTTTATGAATCACTATTGGTTTTTTATTCTGAAGAACTAATAAAATCACACCTCCCCTAGCTCAACTCCTGAGAATCAATTATGATAGCTAGGTTTTCAGAAAGTGTTAGGCTAAGGCCAATGATGGTCCCCTTCTTTCTGCCATCTCTTCCCATAACTGACTGAGTCCATTTACCCTCTTGGGGTTCTTGGATCCTGGGGCTCTTAGAGGATAATAATATGGATCTATGAGCTGCTTTTCTGTATTTCAAAAGGCCTCTAACAGGCCAAACAGGTTCACTAAAAAGTCAGGTATCCTTCCTTTCGACTAGATTGTATTAACTTGAAGTGATAATCCTAGATTCTGACTGGCAATTTTATATTGCTTTGAGTAATAAAAATGGGACATGAATTAATATATTAAAGTTGTAGTGAAAACTCATTAAACAATATACTTAAGATCTGGACATTGCATTGCATTGCATATAAATTATACTTCAATTAAAATAAAAGCTTAAAATTGATACTCAAAATCTTTGAAAACCTGGGGTCCTTGGGAGGTGAGAAATAATAAAAATGGCCTTTGGTAGTGAACAGGCTGGGATCCTATAAGCAATCTCAGAAGAAAAGGTGTTTTCTCTCTTCTTACTCAGGACATGGCTTAAGCAGTGCTAGTCGTCTCTGCTCTCTTAAGACTTTGTGTTGCCACTTCCTCTCTGCTAGCTTCCCCAAATTTTGTCAGTCATCATTCTCAGCTCCATATCTGGAAAGCAACCTTGTCTGAACCTTGAACTACCACCCCCTCCCTCTCTTCACTGCCAGCAGTCTGAACAACATACTCCTCTCTTCATCACTCCCCTGAAACCATGCTCGACTGGCAAATTCTGGCTTCACCATTTAGGAGCTGTGTGACCCTGGGCAAGTCGGTTAACTTCTCTTTGCCTCAGTTTCCTCATCTGTAAAATGGAGATAAAGTAATAAATACCCACCTCATATGGTCCTTATAAAGATTCCATGATTGGGTCCATGTGCAGCACTTACAACAGCGCCTAGCCTGGTTCTTGTAAGCTATTGTGACTATCATTGCTACTATTGCTACTGCTATCTAATCAGGCTAGTGGCCATTTCTCAATCCACATTCTCTTCAACTCCTTCCACAGTAGGGAGCACTGTTTACTGAACTCTATGACTTGCTCCTCACAGCATCCTCTGAAGCACTGCTTCTTTGTCTCCTCTGCCAGCTCCCTTCTCCCTCCCACCCTTAGGGTAGGGGAAGCTCTTTGGCCCTCCACACACTCCAAATTCCTTCTTTTTTAAGGTTTAAAGCCTGTGTTAGGCTTCATCCCACAAGTGCATCTTTCAGATCTTTTTCCCAGGCTTTTTCATTTTACAAAACTAGAATTCCTTTGCTTATGAAATAGGATCTCCCTCATAAATACTACTTGATAATGATCACATCACTTAATGTGTCACATGTTCTTTATCTGTAAAATGAGAAGGCTGGAGGGAGAGATGATCTCTTAGGTTCCTTCCTGCTCAGAAAAATTTCCATAAATTCTTTTTCAACTCCAGCTGCCCGTTGGACTTCTCCACGTGGCTGTTTGCCACTACCTCCAACTCCATGTGCCTAACTGAACACACCACTGGACCTCACGCATCAGCTTTTCTATTTCTGTTAAAGATAATGTTCATTCTCTTCATCACTCAGACTTGGAACCCGGGTATCACTTCAATGCTACCTCCTATCTAATCAGTCACCGAGCGCTATTGACATTCCTTCATAATGTCCCTTCCTTCCACAACCCTAACTTTGCCACAGCCGCTCTCCTCCATGCTATCTACTCATCCCTAGCCCCTCCCATCTACAGACACAGATTCTTCCTGAAAATATGTGTCCTGCACATTCCTCTTCCCTCCTTGCCAATCGTAGCTGTTCCTAATGTCTACAGGGTGAAGTCTAATCTCTGGCACCTCAAATTCAAAGCCCAAATTGCTCATAATCCCTTAAATTTTCTCTCCCATGACATTCCTTCTGCACCTTCCATTCCTGCAGTGGATCTACTCTTATGCAGCTTTCTGCTTTGTGTTGTGCACCGTTCCCTTTGTGTTGAACACACTTCCCCCACCTTGCCATCCAGCCTGTACCTAATGAAGTATGACATTTCTTTCAAAGCCCAGTTTGCTTGCTTGTAAGGATTTTTTAAAAAAAATTTCAAACCAACCTCTCTGTGATGTCTTTCTCCAATGACCAACCCCTGGTTGGTTATTTACTTGTGATAAATTCTTACAGCACTTTTGTATAGACTACTCGTTGGCTTATAGCAAGGGCTCTAATATATTTTACTAATTGTTTTATGTAGTTATCCTTCTCCCTAATTACAGTTTCAACTCCTTGGGGACAGAGGCCATAGACCTCATAGCTCCCTATCACGTGGTGAGAGGATATATGTATTAACAATAATGATGATGACTAAATTTAAAAAGAAAGCTATGATCATCTGTCTGCGACAATATATCAGTGATCCTCAGAAACACAATTTCCCCAGGAAAACAAAACAAAAAGAGGAATATAAAGGAAGCCAGGTGTACAGCCCTATCTCATAGTTTTCATTAAGTCTGCCACTTAATTTCTTTACATTTGACCTGGGCATGTGGGAATTATGAAAATACATTTAAAACTGTAAAATAGTATATAAATAGAAAGTATTTATCATTAACATCCTGGCCCCTAGGCCTGGAATGTTTGAGAATTCTTGGCATGATTTCTAAAAGTCCAGAGAAAGAGTTGTAGTGAAGCAGTGGTTCTCAACTGGGGACGATTTGGGTTCCCATCTCCAGGGGACATTTGGCAATGTCTGGAG